TCGACAAGACCAACGGCACAGACCGTCTCTGTGCACAGACACGTCATGGCAGGACGTCTGTTGTTTCTCTTTCTTATGTGTGAGTTCAACCGGTGCTGAATTCTATTCACTGTTTGATGATTGATTATTTGATTTGATGATTGATTATTACATTGAAACCTTTTGAACTCTGTTCTTTTTTTCTAGGTTCATCACAAAAGATGGAAATTCAAGGTGATTGGTTTTTTTTTAAATTGTTTTTCAGATAAACTATCACATTAATTTTTTAAAACTTTTTTCTCTGTTCCCTTTCAGCTTTGCTCTCACCTAAGCTGACAGTGACCAAGCCGAATATCACTGAGACAGAAACAGACACACTGGAGTGTCGGCCTGTCGACATGGTCACCGCTTCTCGGTGTTATTTCTACACCCTGACAAAAGAAGAAACTAAAGTCTTTTCCTGTTTGAAGTTGGTGACAGGGACAGAGCTGCTGTTGATGTCAGGACAGACATCACCTGCTGAGGTTCAACTCCGGTGTTTTTACACCGTCAACTTAAATGGTATAAATCCGTCTCCTCACAGCAACACGGTGTCTGTCATCGTAAACGGTGAGTTTATATGGAGTCACCATCATCACACATCACTTCCTGTTACTTTTTGTGCAGTAATTTCAAACTTTATTATCATGAAGGAAATAAAAAGTTGGACGACATGGAAACCTCAAGGATTCCGTGGACACCAGGTAAAAAAGTCCGAACATTCCAGGGGAAACTCAGACGTTGACATGACGGCGGCCGTAGTGTTTTTTCCTCTAACATTTTTATTTGTATTTTCACAGCTCCAACTCCTGTCAGTCGTCTTTCTTCAACTCTGAGAACGACCATAAACGGTAACAAACGTCTCTCCAGATTGAACTTTTCTACAGAAGGAAAATCGTTAGAATCGAACTGTGTGTTAATATTTGAACAGATGAAACAGACGGTGGAACTTTTACTTCAACTCACATCACCGCTGTAACAGGTAAGAGAAATAATCTAGTGTTGTCTTTTGTTAAAAATATAATATAATAATCTTAATGTTTTTGACATCAAGTGAAAAATGTGATTTTCTTTTTAGAATTTTTCATAAAACTCATTAAACTTTTCAGCAAAGTCTTTGAACTTTATCTTAAATCTTGCCATTCCAACAGAAAAATTCCAGTGAGAAAAAAAGGACAACATTTTGACAATATTTTTCAGAATTACAAACAAAAAGAGAAAAAAATATTTTGAGATTATAGTGGAAAAAAGTCACATTCCTAATTTTATTCTGAAAAATCTAAAACACGCTGAGGAAGACATTTTTAATTTTAAATAGATTCGTTTTTAAATAGACAAAATTAAATATAAAAAATATATATAATATATATGTACACTATATATATGTGCTTAATATTATTGATATCATAACGCTGACAAATAATTGAAAGAGAAAAAAAATTGCATTGGGATTTCTAAGGCTGTCAGTCAAAGATGAATCTCTCAGTTTGACTTCATGTTTTATTTCTTATCATTGGATTGATTATTGATTATAGATTAGTAATTATTGATTGAATGTGGAATAGAAGAATAATAAAATCGTGACGATTTCAAAATGTCTATTTTCATCCTATTTCACAGCTGTTACTGTTGGTAGAACTCATACGTCAACTGAAGGTAATAGAAACTGCAGTTCATCCAAGAGTTACTTTTTAAAAACTCTGTGACTAATATTAACTCTTTATTTTCTCCATGTCTCAGCTCCGACCGTGGAACAACCTCACACAGTCACAGGTAATAACATCAGACCCGTACATTCAGCTGAATGACTGTCATATAGTATCAGTTACTATTAGATACTATTGGAGGATTGATAAGAACTTTTTGCCGATATTCTCCAAACACCTAATTTCCGATATTAACCGATGCCGATGTATTCAGCCATTTTCCCCCCAAAACTATTGTTAGGTCACATGGCGTGACACATACACCTACTTTTATCGCGATGCCCCACTAGAGGCACTCTTCTCACATGAACATTGTCTGTACATAATCCATTTTTAAAGCCATTTTAAGGATGGCGTTTTCAGGTTTTCATTATCGGAGGAAAAAAAAGATGAAGAGGATTCTTATCGATGTGACATATCGTTTCTCTACCTCACAGATCCGACGGTCGGTGGACCTCACACTTCACCCAACGTGATTCCAGGTAATAACATAAAAACTTTGGTGTAGTTTCTCTCTTGGAGTACTACTGTGTACAGTCTATAAATACTGTATGTGTTTTTTTCTTACAGGTCTAATGGGTGACAGACCTAATGATCCAACTCCAAGGACTCAGGCTCAAGGTAAACAAGCAAACAAACATCACATCGATGAATGTCACACACACACACACACACACCTTCTGACTGCGGCCGAGGCCGACGTGAAGGTCGCAGTTTCACTGCCTGGTTTTAAAGGCTGCTGTTTTGTGTCCTCTGAGCAGACGTGGTGATCGTGAAGCTACTGCTGGTCATGTTGACGACGTGTGGAGTCACTATGGGCGTCGTGTCACTGGTGGCGCTCTACTGCAGAAGGAAACAGGCCCACAGAGGTAATACTCTGTCCACATCTTTCCACACTTTCAAAATTCATCAAGCGGTCCAGACTGAACTCCCTAGTGGGCTGATTTTAAGTCCACGTGCCATACGTTTGACACCCCTGCGCTAAAGTCTGAAGTACCCACTTAAATGTTAGTTTCTATTGCTTTTATAAAAAAGTGTGTCAAAGTTTAGAGAAGTCAAAACTTCATCTGTCACTTTCATTCACAACATCAGGACAGAAAATAAAGAAGCAGTTAAAACAACAACTAATCACAAACGTCTCAGTTCTGTAATTACTGGCCATAGGGGGCAGCACTGCATCTAGAGGTTTGGCTGGCAGAGCACAAAAAAGTTTGGTAAACTGTTAGGGATGTTGTTTCTCTTTCTTATTGGATTTTTTTTTTGTTTGTCATGTTTTTGTTTAAATCCTGTTTACAATTAAAACCAACAATATATTGTATTGTAAATGAATTCAAAATTATAGAAACCCCTAAAGGGGGATAAGATTATTTATTTATTAGTGTCAAATATCATTACTTAATAAAAGTGCAATTTATTGAGATGATTCTTTACAATCAATCTCAAACAAAGTAGATGATTTTTTTACATTATTAATTTTCTTTTGCACTGACATGTGTTCCTGTCTTTCTGATGCAGATGATGTCACCCGTCCACCAAACCTGGACCACGAAGAAGAGGTAAATAAATTAACGTGTTATCAAATGGTTAATGCTACAAACGACTGCTACAGTACAGTACAGTACAGTACAGTACAGTACAGTACAGTACAGTACAGTACAGTACAGTACAGTACAGTACAGCACAGTACAGCACAGGTATCTGAACACTGTTGACTCCAGGCTCGGTTTATTCAGAGACAACTCTCAGTGTGATCCCAACGTTCTCTCTGTTTTTAAGGTCAACTATGTGAACAACGTGTACACCTTAATAACTGCTGTCGACGCTTCCAACGGTCAGTATGAAAAAAAAACAAACTACCAGGACTTTATAATTAGTTTGTCAGGATTATTTTAACCCTCTCTCTGCTCTTTAAATCACTCATGGTCTTCACAACAAACCAGGAAACCAGGTCAGAAACCAACAACTAAACATGCTCAGAGTATCAGTACTAGTCTAATGCAACATGAGGAGCTTCCAAATACCACACACTACTGTTAACTATATCACAGTATTATATATATAATAGTCAGGATCCTAGTACTGTAATTATATAACTGAACTGTTTATCTTAAAGCTGGGGTCCATGGTGTAGTGATTATCACCCCTGCCTTACACATTTCCCCTACATACAGAAGGTCTTAGGTTCGAGGCACTCAATGGCGCCTCCTGTGGCAGCCTGTGCTGGTTTCCCCTTCATCGTGGAACATTGAAGGGACTTCAATCCATTCAGTCAATGATGTTCAACACTGTGAACCTTTAACGTCAGGTTAATAAACCCCATCATCTCACTGCGTCTTTCTGTCCTGCAGAATTTGACACATTCTTCAGACAAAAGCAGCAAAGAGTTGGTATGTGAGACGCTAAATGATGGTCCTGCCGTCGTCACAGGAGCCTCAGTTTGGTCTCATGTTGATTTAAAGAGCAGTCACACACACACACGTTTCTTTCTTTTTCTTTCTAGGCTCTGAGCACGTCTACGAAGTAACTCAACCGCTGGAGACGACGAAGCTGTAGCGGCCGTGAAGAACCCCGAAATCTCCAGCAGCTTCTCCTGCTGTGGCGACGGAGCCCGTGTGGACAAACGGGTGATTTACAGCTCGCCGATCACTTTTGTCAATTTTTATTTTCTCTTCTCGTGTGTGTGTGCGTGATTTTTCCTGTAGCCAATCCCCAGCCAGCATTCTTCAGACACGTGTCACATGTTTATTTACATCCACCTTTATGTTTGCTTGTTTTTTTAAGAGTAGGGATGCCAAACTCCTGGCCCGGGGGCCACTTTTCAGCCCGGTCACCGTCCTCAGTAAATTACAGCCTGACGGGATTCAGATTCAGTTTCAAAATGAACACAATGTTCAAATTGTCTGGCCATGTTCCTGATCACGGCGTTCTTCTTCAGAGTTCTTCTTTTTTTTCACTATTTGGAGAGTGACATGTGATGTGAAAGCAGATCTGACGCCAGGAAGTCGCCCTGCCCTGTGGTGTTGTTTCTCAGGGAACCAAAACAGAACCTGAAAGAGAACTGGGGTTTTACAGTTAACAACAGTCGTGGTCATGATGTCATCAACAGTCACGTTGTCTGAACTGCAGGCAGTTACAAATACTCCTGTGGTTTTTCTGTCGCCACAGAGCTAAAACGTCAGTGGTTAGTTGACAGCAGTTGATTCTACCTGTATATATATATATTTATATATAAAAATAATCTAATATATTTTGAGGACAGTTCTAGGATATGTGATGTATTTGTTTCTTCATTAATATTATTAAGACTTTTACGAGTCTAAAGGGTAATTCAAATTTATTTTCTGCTAATTTACAGATATATTTTCAGCTTCTTTCGGACCAACTTTAAAGCAATTTGCTCACTTTAAAATATATTGGGCTGTTTTTAGCTTGTCCGCTAACAGTAATGTATTGTTTTTACTCGCATTTTCTGAACTTTTTATTAGTTACTTTAAGTGATTGTATTGTGTTACTTTATTGAGACAGTAAGTGTGTTTCCTGCAGTTCATTTATGGCTACATTTGTAATAAATAGCTGAATAAAAATCAAATAAAAAAAACCTTTGATTTTGGTTTAAATAATCACATTTTACAGAATCATTTAGGGCGACCTTTGTCAACAGTGAGAAAAGCACACAGCACGTACACGACGTAAAATATTCCTTTGTGTTTATTCCTCCTCAGACATGGTTGTGATCGAGTCACAAATAATGGCAGGATGTTTTGGATGTAACATTTTCAAACCCACTGTTGAATATTGTTCATGCATCATTAACGTCTCTGTACTGTCTTCTGCTTTAAAACAAGGAGAAAGTGACAGAGTAAAAGGTCAAGTTCTGGGTCACGGCTAATATTTGACAGAATCCACAGTGTTATCGACATCAAAAATGAATAAGTAACAAAACAACCGTAAACATTTAAGGAAGAGAAGTATGACGGCACTGTCCACACGTAAACATTTAAGGAAGAGAAGTATGACAGCACTGTCCACACTTTGTTTTTTGTTTTTTAAATAAGCAATTAAAATGCCAGAAATCTGCCATCTCTTCACACGACAAAAGTGCATTTAACATTCTTTTACAACAAACTTTTTTTTTCTTCTTCTTCTTCTTGCAACACAGAAACATTACATGAAGTAATAGTCACATCCTTCCAGGACTTCTCTGTAGAACTATGTTCAACATCGACTCTGTCTGGCTGCAGCACATCATTCAGGGTTTTTACTGCATTAATGGATGAGAGTCTCACTGCTACTGAGTTTTGTCGCTCGGTAAAAGCGCTGTCGTTTGCAGAGCTACAGTTTTAGCAAATTCATTTCTGATTGGACAAGTTCTCTAAGTGTTTTTAAGCATATTATATATTTAGGTAAGTCCTTAACTGACGTCCAGTCCAGAGGCTTACGGTCACCTGCAGATGGCAGCTGCCAACAGGGGGAGCAGCAGTGCTGTCAGAGGACTGCTCACAGTCAGGCGTGTTCCTGAACCACACTCCATGGCATTTTCCTGCAGAGACACAGATGAGTTCTCCCACAGCTGTAGAAGTTTAACGATCACATTCATATGAAAGATGATACTATATAATCGACAGCATTGTTTTTTTAAGGATCTTAACCGCGGACATGTCCACCGCATTTAAGGATCTTAACCGCGGACATGTCCACCACAGCTCCAGGCTGTAGGGGGCGCTTTTGTATTAGTTTGGTAATTCAGAAGAGACGTAATAATAATAATAATAATAATAATATTAATAAATGTACGCCTTAATATCCATGGCCACAGGAGGGCACTGTCTACACTCGAAACAACTTAGCTGATATCACGCCACTGGAAGTTAGACGACGAAATCATAAACGCTACCTTAAAGAACTCAAATGCGAACAAACATTCAAAGAACTCAAATTAAATGCGAACAAACATTCAAAAAAAAATAAAAATAAACTACAGAATTTAAACTCCGTGTTAAAAAGTTTGCAGCCAAAATACACTGTGAAGAAGCTGAAAATAATCTTAACGGACGAACAGGAACTGAGGCTAATGAGTCATTAGCCGTTAACGGCTAATGACTAACGGCTGTTAGTGTAAATGCATAGTATTTCCAGACTTTAATTCTTCGTTCTTCATTGTTACATGAATGTTTTAAAAAATAAAATAATAAAATACATTTTAAAACGTTTTTTTTCCTATTCACTAGGCACAACGTATAATCCATAAAATACAGTATTAGTATTAAATAATCTCATACTGCTGGTAAAATGTACCGTGCTTTGTCATAACAACAAATAAATCACCAAAAATGGAATTGATTAAGAATAAAAATTTGCCCCAGGTTTAAAAAGAAAAACAAACCTGATGGGATTTTCAGCTCTTAATGCACTTGAAATAATCATTGCAAGGGCAATACAACATTTTAGTAAAAAGACATAACTTTACTTTTTTTAAAAAAACAAATGTCGCCCCCTATCGTTTACGTTTGCATACAAACAGTGTGAATATACCTCAGGGTGAAACGGGTGACATGACTCGGGTTTCTTTCTGTCCTTCTGAAATTTCAGTCTGTCACATTTCAGGGACTCGTTGTGTTCACAGAAGTCAAGAAAAAATTAGAAGAAGACGAAGAAGAAGAGCTGAGAGATTCACAAACATCACTCACTATAAATTATTATTATAAACATTAAACATTAGTGTTTGACGTAGAAAGGATATACATGATCTCAATGGGATCCATGGTGACTGGTGGAGCACTGCTGCAGTCGCACTTACTGTCCACCACAACCATGAAGAGGTTACTGCTGGGAATCTGCTGGATGACGAAGGACCTGCGAACACAGACACAGACACAGACACAGACACAGACACAGAGAGAAGACGCTGTTATTACGTCATAATGTGATTACTGTAGTGATGACTACGGCTGTAGCGTCAGCACCTGCTGCAGCCGTCACAGTCGATGCTGCCGGTTGTTTCTTTGATGGTGCGTTCAGAGACAAATGCGGGGTATTCTGTGTCACAGGGAACCATCATGGTTTTACCCCGGGGTCTCTGAGCTGAGGACGGGGTAGAAAAAAAACAGTTTCATGTATTTTACCCCGGGGTCTCTGAGCTGAGGATGGGGTAGAAAAAAAAAACAAAAAACAGTTTCATGTGACACTTGTAGAGAAGTAAAACCACACACACACTCACACACACATTTACGTCACAGACTGTAATGACCTTTGACTGTGAGGTCAATGTTCCACCAACTGTAGAGGTTGAACTCCAACAGGAAACTGAAAGAGAAACAAAAACAACACAACAAATATCACTGTCAACAGTTAGAATAAACTAATGAAAATCGACTACATGTTTTAGTTGAACTTTTCTGTGTCAAATGGGAAGATATGTGCTGTATATATGTGTGTGTGTGTTTAAAAAATTACAATACATCCTATAATGGAAAAGAAAAATCACAGAGTCCGTGCAACCCACACAGGGTGCCACGAGGGGGCGCCATTATGTACATGGTTCTGGTTTGGGTTTAAGAACCCAGGACCTTCTGCATGTCAGGCAGATGTGTAAGACAGGCGTGATATCAAATTGCCCTATGGAGCCACCATGGGGCAATTTGTGGCACTACAGCAGCCACAGAGACTGAACTAAATTATTTATGACCTCCCTTCAGGACCTCTGGACCTGTTAGGTGCTGCAGGCCCCATGTTGAAGACCTGTGCCTTAAGGAAATAACTTGTGTGATTTTTTTTCCTCCTGATATATGATATAATTTATACAGAATTCTTACATGACCAGTTCAGTGAGGAGCCACTTCACCACAGAGAACGGCTGAAGAAGAAGAAGAAGAAAATGGAAGAGGAGGAAAGTTCATTTATATATTTCTGAAAAAGAAGATTTTTTTTTACTAAAAACTCAAATCTGAACTCTGCTCCTGACACCTTACATCTGACAAAGTGCGTGCGCTGTCACTGGTCCCAGCGTACTCCCTGCACAGAGCCTGGTAGTCATACAGTGTGATCCTGTGACACAAACAGGCGCAGGTTACAGTCAGAAACAACGACGACAACAACAACATCCTGGTCAGGTTCACAGGCTCCTGTTCGGTGGAGCAGACCTTCTGAAGGAGCCCATCTGCAGTAGTTTGCTCATCACTGCCCCCTCCACCTCTCCGAAGAAAAGCCCCGTCTGAAAGAGAAGCACAGGGGGCAGTGTTGAGCTGAGTTGTTTTTTTTTTTCTCCCATTTGTCAAAGTATTTCAGTGAGTGAAACGTCACAGACAATTATTTTTCTTTCGCTCAAAGATGTGCAGACATGAACCCTGTACCTGTGAATGTTCCTCTGAGACCAGAATGAATCCGTTGTTGTCAATGAGGTAACAGTTGATGTCCTGTCAGGAGGTGAACACACAGACTTGGTGAACGAAACAAAAAAAAAACCAACCTCAAGTCAGAGTTTCGTGATTGTACTTACGTCATTATCACAGCTGATGATACATTTCCCGTCCAGAGCCGTGCACTGCAGACAGAAAAGTACACAGTTGTTGTGTGTAGTGTGTACTCTGACTGACAGACTGAGACGTGACCTCACCTGTCTGCACGCCGTCCAGAACTTCCTCTGGAAGAACTCCAGCTTCATCTGGATCCCGACAGCTGTGACAGAGAAACGACAGACACGAGTGAGTCAACGGCTGAGGAGGTCTTCATCAGTCACATTTAAAATAATAATAATAATAACATTAATGTCAGCAAATACTGTAGTGGTTCAGAGTAAAGTTAAAAACCATGTTTCATATAAAATCTTGACGTTTTTACCTGCAACAATTGGAGACTTCCTGTCATCCAGGAGTTGAATGGCTGTACTGGCCAAAACCACGCTCTTATTTTCTAAAGCTAGAGAAAGAAAAAACAAAAACCAGGCAGAACAAATAATAATGTTGAAATATTTTTGTTACTATTTCCGTACAGTAGATGGCGCCCTCTTCTCAGCATCCTCAATCAGATGACTCCGAAATCACTCCATTAGTTTACAGTAATGAAGTGTCCTACATCTGAACTGTGATCGTGAAGCTGAGTGGGTGCAGTTACTATCTCAACAGAGGGAGGGCGCCAAATTTCCAGCAGAGGGAATTTTTTAAAAATTATTATTCCACAGTTTTGGATGGATAGATAGATAAATAAATAGAATTTAAATGTGAAAACAATGTTAAAAGAAAATAAAAATCAGCAGAAATCAATCAACTCATCTTTTTGTTCTAGAATGTTGGTTTTGTTTTCACCTGTGCTGAAGGGGATGGAGTAGATAAAAGTACCAGGAACCTGCTCGGCCGCTCTCTTGTACCACAGGGGGAAGTGGTCAGCATTGAACACACCCTCCTTGTCTTCTGCTGTCAGGAAGTCTCTGTGGACACGCACACACACACACACACCGTGGATTAGCCCCCCGACATCCAGCAGTAAATCACACACACACCGTGGATTAGCCCCCCCGACGTCCAGCAGTAAACGGTGAATGAAGAAATGTGATGCTGCGACACTGACTTGTTGGACAGGTGATCAGCAGGGACGAACAGGTTGGTTCTGGACAGACCGGTGCGTGTTCCCAGGAAGGCGATCTCCACTCCTTTGTCTGAGTTTCTGTGGGTTAAAACGTTGACGTGAAACAGTCGGACGACGTTGGATGAAGACGAGCCTCCTCATAACAGTAGTCATTTAGCTTCTGTTAGCCACGAGGCAGCAGCGAAAGGAGGGAACAACTAACCCTTGTCTTTATAGTGTATGAAAGGGATGTCAAACATATGGCCGGCGGGGCCAAAACCGGCCCACCGGGGCGTTCAATCCGGCCCACATGATGGGTTTTGAACAGACTCACTCTGACTTGTTGAGGGCCAGTCCAGTCCAGTAGGCCTCCAGTGGAGCAGTCACCACGGCGTCAAATAAAACCTCCTGGATCAGCTCTCTGTCACCTGCACAGACGTGGACCTGAGCTGATCAACACACACATGGGCTCACGGTGTGTCGGGGTGTGTGTGTGTGGGTGTGTGTGTGTGTCTCTTACACTTCAGGTGAGGTCTGCGTCCGGTCATGAACAGCTTGATGGCCTGGATCTGGGTCAGGTGCCGATGCTCGTGCTGCTCCTCCGTGTTGCAGTACGTCCTGTGGTGCAGATGAGGTATTACATCAGAGGCTCCGACCGACCGACGCTGGGCCGTGGCCTCACAAAATGCATGAATGCCCTTATTACCCTCAGCCCCCGTTTACCATTCATCTGCGAGGGCGACATCTGGCTGTTCCAGATCACGAAGCCCTGAAAAAAAACACAAGTCAGCGACGCTTCAGTGACGCCGCGCTAGTCAACGGGCAGATTCTTTACTGCAGACATTTGACATTTAATTTACAGAAAACAATAATAACAGTCGTCATTTTGACTTTAATCTGAAAAGAAATATTAGCAGCAGACACGCAGATTCCTCTAGGTGTCACTAAACTAAAACTCCCGTCCAAACAATTGACTCGTACGGACACAAACGGTGGAAAACAGAAAAATGTGAACGTCTGTTTTTATACTATTTTTTTCTAAATAATACATGATTTTAATTTAGGATCATTTAATGTTGCATGGTACCTGTAATGATATTTTGAGTATTTTTAGAAGCCCTGCTTGCTTGTACTTGTACTTGTACTTGTACTGTGACTGTGACACCGCAGCCAAAACTCATACCTGCTTCAACGGATACGTTTCCTCTGAAGAAGTATTTCCCATGACCTCTGGAAAGAGCCACTCCAACACTAGAGGGCACCAACGAAGCAGAGAATGACTTTCAACCCAGTAAAGTGGTACAGTATCATTAGGGAAAGGAATCGAACTTTTCTTCCACCTGAACGGAGTTCCTTTGATGTCGGTGTAGTAATAGTCGTTGTGCATTATCAGGACCCGCCTCTAGAACACAGAACGGCTCAGGTGAGATTTACCTCCGGAGTCCGGAGACCACAGAGCAGCTGCAGGGACATTAAACATCTTTATCTGCAGCCTCACCCCTCTGTCCACCGTCTTCTTCACCTCCATGGAAAATGTCCCCGTCCTCCTGTTCACCATGGCGTTACGGAGCTGATGATCAAGGACAGAAGGAGAGAGAGAGAGAGAGAGAGAGGAGAGATTATGTTACAGTACCTGCTGCTGTTACAACATGAAGTACAGTAACAGTACAGTAACAGTACAGTAACAGTACAGTAACGGTACATCATGGAAATAAATTAATAATAAAACATCATTTCTGTTCTTTCTTCTTTTATTTCTTTTCTTTTTTCCTATTCATTTTTGATTCGCTACTTATTTACTTCACGTCAATAATTAGTGACGTCAAATATTAACTAATTGCCAATTTATGATACACTGATATTGTCCAAATACTTAATTTCCGATTCCGATATAGGCCCGGTAATATTTATTTATTTATCCGTACAAACCACTGTAAGAGTATGAGATAAATAAAATGAGCTGCAATGCTGCCATCTAGTGACCTATAACCTATAACGATTCATACAGACTACATAACATGCTAATATCTGGTCGATAATATCGGTCGGCCAGATATTATCGACACTCCTAATAATAATATGCTTTCATGTAAGACACATTTTTGTCAATGTTGCCGTGAAATATAGATATTTTGGTCACAGTTCATCGTCGTTCTCTCACAGTCTCTGGTTTTAGGATTAAATTGTGTGAAGAAGATGTTGGTTTTTTTTCCACCTACGATGTCATCTTTGTCCTCCCACTCCACCTCCGACAGATCCACGCTGCTGTAGTTGGGCTTCCGTCTCTTCTGACCCTCCTGATACTACACACACACACACACACACACACACACACACACACACACACACAAACACAAGATGCACAATTTAACAACCCTTTCCTTCTGGAAGGAAAAATATATCTGTCGACACGACCTGAAAACTTCCATGTTTTCAAAAAAAAAAAAAAAATTCACGACCACGTCTTTTATAGAAGGTCTACACAGACACACACACACACAGACACACACACACACACATTACTTCAATAAAGTTCAGAAGGTTTGGCTGCGTAATTACTGACCGAGTCATGTGTGAAATGAACAGTGTCAAGTGAATTAAAGATAATTACTAAGACTGACAGAGGGAGCACAGCGTTCATGTCGGAATCAGCAAACGTACGTTCTCTGCTGGTAGACTGGACATAAGAAATGGACGAAGCCGTCAGTGACGTCCAGAGGAAATTTAAGAAACGACTCTTAAAGAGTAGAAGTTCAGGCCACGTCCTGTAACTTTGGTAATCATTTCCTTTGGTTCATAGTTCATATAAAAGGAGAGTTTACAGTCGCAACCAAGTGTCAAAACTTCTTTGTTAGATTTTAATATCAGTTGTACAAATAACAATCCCATTTAGAGGAAAATGGACAGTAAATGTTGAGACGAGAGTTTTTATATATTTTAGGGCTGGTAGGGCCAATAGTAGCAGTCACCCCCTCCCACTGCCCTGGCCTAACCACCAGGTGGCGCTCCATCAAAGCCAGTAAGTTCTTCTCTGCTTGCCTAAAAAAAATCATAAGTAGTGACTTATTTTTCAGTATATTTATCACAAATTAATATAAAAAAATTACGTCTGCTTCCAGTCGTAAATACTCGAGTTTTTTATCCAATCATATTTCAGCCTCATGTGTTGCCGGGTGATGACGCTGGGAGAACAGAATGAGTGACAATGAGATTTGATATAATTTCTACAGATCATAATGATGTTATTAAGATATAAATGTATTCAGTCAGGGCGCCAACTAAAGGCCTCGATGGGAATAGCACTTTACCCCAGTGCTTCCACCCTGTGGCTCCAAACGGGATTGTTGTTTTACAAATGACACTCATTTCTGCTGGAGTTTACTCTGCAGCCACACAGACCACACGTCCATTTCTTACATACGATCGACAAAAAAAAAACCTCTGGACAGGAAACACCACGTTAATGACTACAACCACAGCACAGTTTAGCCACAGACGGACGAAAAAAAAACAACAAAAAAACCAAACAAATAAAACCCCACAACACAGGTGGACACACAGAGAGGAGGAGCACTGACACTGGCACACACACAGATCCAGCAGCACAGCCACAGCTGCGGAGGAACCGCTGAGCGGCTGTGGTCGAGGCCAGTGAGTGTCAAGTTACCTCTGGGAAATCTCAGGCCAGCGAGCCCTATGATTGGCCTTTCTCCCTGCATGCATACATCAAAGGAGAAGGTGGGGATTACAGACTACACGAGTCCACGCGGCCTCCTAACACACTGCTGTCAGTGAGCTCTCAGTGTGGAGGACTCACTCAGTCTTTGGGGTCAAAGCATATCGTTTTTTGGGACAAGGGGAGAGACAGGGTTAAAGTCAGGGATTGTTATGAGACTGTCGGAGACTGTGGTGCCGGAGGAGGCGGTTACCAGAGGTCGGAGGTCGGGGTGCAGCAGTATGTAGCCGTTGTTGGTGATGGCGAAGGCGTAACCGTGGATCCCTAACTGCAGAAACAGACGTGTTCTTTTTTTTAGCGTCTGAACTCCTCCATTTATTTCAGAGCGAAAGCAGAAGAACGGCAGATCCTACCATATGTTTGGGGATGAGCTTCGTCAGCTCATGCAGAGGGATGTCTGTTCCCACCACCCCCAGCAGAATGCCCTGGTTCTTCTGCATGAAGAGATTCACACACACACACACACACACACAAAAACACAAATTTAGATCAAAACGGCAGAAACTCTTTGCTTTTTTTTGTTTTGTTTTACTCACCGTTTCGTTCTTTGTGCTGAACACAGGCATGGCGACCGTCGTCGTCAGACTCGGGCCAGCTTTGTCCTTCAACTGGAAAAAAAGAGAGAGAGACATCAGTGGTTTAAATTAGTTTTACACTTTCAAATTCATACATTTGGAAAAAAAATATTTTATATATGTTTTTATTTGGCGATATTTGTAAATTACACTTTCAAATTCATACATTTGGAATATTATTTATTTTATATATGTTTTTATTGGGCGGCTAATTTGTAATTTCTGATGAATCAATTCATAATTAAACAACAACATGAAAAAGAAAATCTGCATTTAATCACACTTGACAACGCTGCTGTACACACTCCAGTCCACTGGGTGGCAGTCATGCACCTGAAGTTCCCCTGTCAGCCTTGGTAGAACGTGCTGTGAATGTGTGTCAGTGCAGGTTTGGTGAACAGTGATGGGATATGAGACGAAAGGAAAGTTTTTTTGTTTTTGTTTTTTTTTAATTTTCAGATGAAGAGTCTTTAAATGTTGTGGTTTGTATAAAAATGCACATATAGAAATGAATATGGATGACAAATAAAAAGTATAATTATATAGATGTATATATAAATGATCAGAGCTGTGACTGTCAACCCTGAACCACGGCCGCGGTTCATCTTCCTCGGGGGAAGACGAAGGCTGACAGAGAGCTGCTCCACTGACTCTGATGTTCCCTCGACTCCTGACCCGACACAGCTGAGCATTTCTGCATTTGAGGATATGTGTGTGTGTGTGAGTGTGTGTGTGTGTGTGTGTGTCGGGGGGGGGGCTAATGTTCATTTGTGGATGTCAATTCACATGAAGTTAACGAGCTGTGAAGTGAAGTGAAGTGAAGTGTTGGACCTGCTGACTGAACAGAATGAAGAACGTGGGCTGCTTACATTCAACGCACACACACACACACACACACACTGGGAATCCATGGATGCCCCTCTTCTCTCTCTCCCTATCTCTCTCTCTCTCTCTCTCTCCAATGTCAGTTTTATTATAGGCTTTAGGAGATAAAATGCAATGATCCAGAGGATGATGAATGGTGTGTCAGAGGCTGAGATACAACAGCAAACATCCTCCCTGTGTGTGTGAGAGTGTGTGAGTGTGTGTGTGTGTGTGTTCTAATTCCCAGTGGACACATGCACAATAAATACCTCTCCACTGCTTCTGCTCCTCAGAGAGGAGAGTTTTCTACACAGGAAACACTGAAGTGCCCCCCCCACTGCCTCCCCCCCAGTGGTAGGAGACCACCACCTGCAACATCCACCGTCCAGTTCTCCCACAGTGAATCCGTCTCGTGCAGATACTTACTTTGTGAGCCTGCGACAGCTGAAATGAAAGAAGAAGAAGAAGAAGAAACACACACACACACACACACGTGTGAAAATTAAATATATTTCTGAATTGAATCCAACAAACTCTGTGGGCACAGATGAACGTCTGGGGAGAGAACCTTCCAGATTAATGAAGCTCATAACGAGGAATCATTACAGCAGCATGAAGAGTGATGAAGAGTGATGAACAGTGATGAAGAGTGATGAACAGTGATGAAGAGTGATGAACAGTGATGAAGAGTGATGAACAGTGATGAAGAGTGATGAACAGTGATGAAGAGTGATGAACAGTGATGAAGAGTGATGAACAGTGATGAAGAGTGATGAACAGTGATGAAGAGTGATGAAGAGTGAGCGTGAGCACATGTGGCCACTGTACAGCAGTGACGAGAAGGAGAGAAACATCTGAGCAAACGCTGGGTTTTTTTTAACAGACTTTCTAGAAATTAAATACATTTTCACCAACTTTTTTGGTGATGAACAATATATCTCCAGTTGTTAGAGTAAACAGGAGCAGGTACTTTCATGTATTACAGTATAAATATCCATACAAGTTCTTAGTTACCTCACGTTATTAATTAGTACTAATATGATCTCACTTTCGTAATTGTTACATAATGAGGTCTTGAATTGTCCTACTGAAAAAAAAATCCTGAAAGTCCCTCAGGAAAACACACATTTTTCATCAGTTACAGCTTCATATACTGTATATGCAGATGATGCAGCGCCGTATCATCACAGATACTTTCTGAAGGGTTTTCTTTAACACTGGTCTTAGGTAAAAAAAAAAGTTTTTTCCCCAAAACCAAGTTAAAATAAACATGATTACATTTTAGGACTTTTTGAAGTTTTTTTTTTTTGTTTTGAGCGGTAGAAGAATCATGGCCGCTGCTACGTCGTCTTCATCATCATCGTGTCATTCCAGTATTTATATAAAGGATTCTGTACTCACAGCACTGTCCACGTACGCCTCGGTCCACACCGTGTCGTGCTCGTGGTCGATAACCTTCGGACGGCTCATGACGTGGAGATACCTCATCACGTTCTCCTGAACATCTGCCAAAGTGGAGATCTGGCTGAAATATCCTGCAGTGAAAAAAAAAACACACACAGTTGTTATCACTGGAGAAAAAAGAAAATGCACCTAAAAAAACACACACAGTTGTTATCACTGCCAGTCATGAGAAAAAAATACACCTGACACCCGACAGTGACAGAACATTTATGATGATGATATGAAACCTAAAAAAACATTCTGTTGAAGAAAAGTGGGTTTCTTTCTTCAATTCCTGCGACTATATTACGGTTGTGTTCAAACAAACATGAATTTAACACTGAATAAGGAGATTGTAAATAAATGTATTTCATTTCATGACATATACTTCTGTATATATAACATTTATTTCTTCACTGTGGGGTTTTTTTCACCATTGGTAAAACATGTGCCAAGGCTCAACACCGTGTTCAAACCCGACACCTCTGAGATGCTAACACACGAGCTAACACATCAATCATCAGCTCCGACTTCAACAAACTAATATAGAAAATGTATATATTAAAAAAATACAAATAAGTCAATTCTCCAGTGAGTTACGGTGCAGCAGCAGATCAGTCCAACCCCGTGACTTTACTGGACCGTATATATGACCGTAACACGCTGAACCAGTCGTTTAATGCACCGTCAGCTCCAGCTGTGTGTGTGTGACAACGCCTCACACTGGACATGTAAGGTTACTCCACTTCACCCCCCCCCCTTCCCCTGTGATGTGTTTTGCTGGCTGTGACTCTCCCTTCCAGAGGGCACTCATCCAGAGCGCTGACATGACATGCTGCAGCCATCAGCAGTGAGCAGCCGAGGGGAAGACACTCTGACAGGAAGAGGGATGACAGGATGCGACTGAAGCCTGCCTCTGTATCTTGAAGTCTTTCACCGTACATTTCCAGTGTTTACATTTGTGACGTATGTAAGAAAAAAAAGTCAACTTCCTTGAGGATGGCGCCACGCAATGGCTGCGACAACGGCTACCACTAACACCTACTTTAACGTGGGGATGCGATTGTGCAAATTTCCAAGCAAATAAAATGGATCATCTGTATAGAAGCTGTCCGTAAAATAGAAACCCGCAATTTATTGAGATATTAAAAAAACCATAAAGATGGAGGGATAAAAAAAAAAAACAAAAAAATAAAAATGACAGAATTTCATAAAAAAAAAAAAACAAATAAAAATGACAGAATCTCTTCGTTGTCTTTTCTCCGGTGTCTTTTATTGTTTTTTTTCTTTTTAACCTAGAAACTCTCTGTTTTATTCAATTAATTTTCTTTTGTCGTTCCAAGGGCAGCGGGCCATGTTCCACTGTCCTTCCACAGCAGGACACTGTGTGACACTGTGCCAAACCAGTGTGGTTCAGTGGCTCAGTGGTTCAGTGGCTCCAGCTGCTTCACTGAGCGTCAGGCAAACAGAAAACACACACAGACGAGCTGCCCTGAGGGTGTGTGTGTGTGTGTGTGTGTGAGAGAGAGAGAGGGGGAAGGGCGCTTCTGCCAAATACTGCCCTGGGTGATGCCAACACACATATGCTCGACAGGACTGAACAGACCCCCCCCTCCCCCCCGGGGCTGTTGTTTTCATGGTCTTTGAACGGCTCTGCAGTTCATTTCAGTCCAACTGTTTCACTG